TTTTCGTCGATGAAGCCAGCCCGAGGCTGATACTATCATGCTTTGGTATGCTAAGAGGTGTGAAGATCCATATTCGACCACATGTGGGTCCGTCAGACCGTGAAAAAACTCAAGTTCGCTATCGTTGAGCTTAAGCGGAGTACTGATAGTGAGGAAACTAATCACCAAATTTTAAATTTTCGAGTGGTTCCCCGGGTTCGCTGAACCCGGATTGATAAGTAGATGACACTCAATGCACTGCCAGCGGTTCCTACTGTAGACTGCGCGTAAGCACTAATGTTTGCAGTTTAATGAACAGACGTGACGATCTGTGCCATTTTGTTGCCTATCGTCCGAAGGATGTACTAGGACTGGCTGAGACCTGGCGGAATTCTGAGACAACCTCCCAGGAGGGATACTCGTGCTTCCGGTGAGACAGACTATCGAATGACCGCAATAACGTGCTGCTATACATCCGGTCATCGTTGTGCAAGAGACTGGTAAGCATATACCGAAGTGAGAATAGTCTATGCGAGCAAATGTAGTTCCCAATCTACCTGAGCCGTGGCGTAATGTTCGTCGGTGCAGCCTATCCCAGTCCGCGAAGTCGATGTTTGGACTGGCTTCCGCTTGTGCAAAACCAATTGAGCCGTCCCCGCTTCTTGCTCATGAGTGATTTCAGCTTACTTTGAATACGCTGATCTGAGGTTCAACGTCTCCCCGGGCATTGTGAAGTCGAGGCAGTTTGCTGAGATGATATCCGAAACTGAGCTAGCACAACGGATCTGCCAGCCGACGAGCATTACATCACACGCAAATCCGTCGTGCCTGGACCTGGTGTTGACTGGTTGCGAAAAGCGTGTGCGTGGTGTTTCGGTCCTAGAGCCAATAGCAGCAAGTGATCACTCGATGACCATGGATAGCCTTGAGTTTTCGCTGTCATACTCGTATCTGCTGGAGCCATCCTACACCTACTGGAAGACTGACTTCGTTGGTCTCATTCAAGCCACTAGTCAAGTGGATTGGTCGCTGCCGCAGGATTCATCTGTTGAAGCCTGTTGGTCTGTTATAAAAGGAGAGTGTGAGATCGTTGTGTGCTCGATTTGAACCCCTCAAGTATCGAAAAACTGCGACCAGTGAAGCTACATTGGTTCGATAAAGAGTACGGTCAGTTGGTTCGACGGTGAGGCTTAACGTTGAAGAAATTCTTTTCGTCTGGCTCTGCCGACGCGCAAGTACAGAAGCGTTGACAGTCCGAAGAGGAGCTTGCAACCGCAGCGAAAATGGCCCCCAGCGAATTTCCGCTTATGTGTAGCGGCGCCTGAGATCTGCAGACGAGTTAGCAGTGTTAGAGGGCTCTGAAAGACAGCCTCAGATTTCCAGTGCTGAACACGTGCCTGTGTTGGCGACGCCCTACGTTTCTGTATTTGCAAGTGGGCATACGTCTATACCAAGTTCCACGTGTGCAGCCCCTGCAGAACTCGAGGGTCTGGATTGAGATGTAGGTGTTCGCAACCTACTTACGAGTCTTGACAGTACGAAGCCTGCCGGCCCCGATGGGCTCCACCCGCTGATGCTCAAGTCACTGTCGACCATCATCTCGCCCTCCGTGACTGATCTGTTTAACAGATCGCTGTCCGAAGGTGTATTGCTGAGCGAATGGAAATGCTCGATAATGAAGCTGATTTCGAAGAGGGGTAACGCAAGCAGAGTGGACAATCAACGGCCGACCAGTCTGTACTCAGTTTTGGTCAAAGTATTCGAGAAGATTGTAAAGAAGAGTATAGTGAAGCTGCTGGAGTCGAAAAGCCTTCTGACTACTGTACAGCACGGCTTCATGAAGGGCCGCTTCTGTATCACCAACATGCTGTTGACACGGCATGAATGGTTGCAAGCGCTGAACCAGGAGAAGTCAGTGGATGTGATCTACATTGATTTCAGTAAAGCTTTCGACAAACTGAACCATGGGGCCCTCCTCAAAAAGATGAGGATGTGCGGTGTTGGTGGATCACTGCAGAAGTGCAGTAGCAACTTCCTTATTGGACGGAAATGGAGAGTACAGGCGGATGGTCATCTAACGGACTGGTATCGCTCTACCAGTGGGGTGTCCCAAGGCACAGCACTGTGGTCCATTTTATTCCTGATCCGCATCAACGAAGTGCTTCAACTTCTTCGGTCACCTTGTGCCATGTTTGCAGACGATCTGAGAATTTGGAAGTTAAGTGATGCTCCCGACAACTGTGACTTATTTCTGCATAACTTCAACCGCCCGTCCAGGTGGTCTGCAGATGCTGATCTGCCGGTCAACACAGTCAAAGCGTTAGATATGAGACTGGGGAAGGGTGTTGGTGGGTGTACGTACACACTGGCCGGCTAACCGTTACATCCCACACCTTCGGTGAAGGATCTCGGCGTACACTTACGCTGCGATTTGAAGTCCGTAGACATCACGCACAAGCTATATGGAAACGGAGCCGGCCCGTAGCCTCGAGATAACGAGCTTGTCCCGTAATCTTGCGGCGCGGGTCCGAGCCTGCGTAGGAGCAGGGCGACCCTCGCAGTATCCATAGCCCACGTGCGCGACCGGTGGTGGTTGTGCGGCAGCGAAGCGTCGGTAATGCGTACCGGCGTACTGCTGATGCCTGATATGGAAACGGACTGCACATGCTTTGGGCGCTCAAAGGCAGGTCCTGCATTTGGCCTGAAGAGATCACAACGCGTCTCTTCTCTCATCATAAGACCGAGACCCGAGTACGGATCACTTGCCTGTTGTCTAATCACGGGTAAAGAGGAGCAAAAACCGGAAAATGTTTAGCATGTGGCTACCAGTCTCAACCCCAATGTACGGGGTATGTCGTACGAAGACCAATACAGACGACTAGGGCTGTACACCCTGTCGTATCGTCGGTTTAGAGTTGAACTCAATATGACGCCCCGAAGATTGCATCTCGATCATCTGTGTTGAGGCCGCTGCCTCACTTGCGTGGCACAGGGACAAGCTGGTGGTACCGGACTTAAAGCGGGTGACGCACTCTCTATGTTTCGAGCGTCGAGTGGTGAAATTCTGGCACTACTGCCCGAGAAAATAGTCAAGGCGAAATCGGCGTCAGAATTCGAGAAATTCTTAGACACCTATTTCGCAAATTTCAGGTTCAAGAAGCGCATCGCACGCGAATAGCATGTGGCGCGGCTGTAATGTGCACCAAACGCGCAGGGATTAGTGACGTCATTCCGCGCACGTATGGTTAATAGCTGTCTAATTTCAATATTCAGTTTGAACAGAACCATGAACGCCGATAATCTACAATGAAGGTCCAACCAACAGTGCCCGCATTTGACGCCATCGACCTCGAAAAGTGTGCAAGTCTCGCTGATGTGAAATCCTAATTGTGAGTTTCGGTACCATGAAAGGAGTTACGGGAAATTTGCAACTGAGTTCTCGGCAACCAGATTAACTCTGTGGGTAATAGAAGATTTTATCAAATGTTTCTCGGAATCGTACACATTGAGAATCTGCATTGACTAATCAGATCGAGAGTGAATGGGAACCCATTATTTCCCGAAGTAAGTTGTTTAAAGTTGCTTTCAAGGCCACAAAGCGTAACCTGCCGCCCACAAGTCATACGGCACATGGCTGCCACCGCAGAATTATTACCTCACATAATGTGGGGCCAGCTTTGAATATGGGCAGGATCACGTGCTTGCTTCGGTAAAGCAGATATCGGCCCGTATACAGCTGAGCTGCATACAGGACGTTGGCAGATAACGGGTTAAACAACACAAAGTATTGAACGTTTTGATTTTAAAAACCGAAGCGTGGGCATCACTATTTGTCGCTGTTGCTGAGCTTGAAAAATCTTCCTTGCTATGTTTGTATGCGCTAATAATCGAGGTATGGACAGTTCAGGTAACTAAGTGATCAGTGTGTGACACGGCCTTTAAATCGGTCGTTGCTATTTCAGCCGAGCATCCTACATTATCTGAAATAAATAAAATAAATCGCCAGCTGTACGCCGTAACGGCGCTTCGCTGCCACGCGATCACCACCAGTCGTGCGTGGGTTGAGTATACCGCGAGGACGCCTGCCCTTACGCGGATTCGAACCGGTGGCCTTATGATTGCAAACCAGACGCGCATACCACTCGGCCACCGGCCGACTCTACATTATCTACTGTAGATATATCAGTTTTGCAAGAACAAACTAGCAGATATTTTCTTAAGTCAGCGTCCAAGGTCACGATCCCCGATATATCATCGTTGAACACAAAATGTCATGTCAACTGTAATGAGTTATGAAGACACGTTTTAATGGAGCCTTGTCCCTTGGAATAGACGCAAACCCCGAAGATATGGTGAAGCGTTATGTGATTGTTGCGTGATCGAGTTATGACTGCACCCTTCTCATTTTGCTACCCAATTGTAAACTACAGCAATTTTGATGGTACCCGTTTAGTAAATTTACAGTTGATAATGTAAATGCTGGAAATGCACCCGCCTTCGTACCTAAAACGTATGCTGACCTATGCCTCGTGAAAATCTTGCCTAAAATGTGCCAATCTAACGACTTATTTATATTGGCATCATTGTGAATATACAAGGGCAAAAGCAGCGGCGTCCGTCACACTTTTATAGGTGGATCATTAGTAATCCACCGGACTGTGTTGAACAGCGCTAGGCCCCTGCTAGCAAGAGCGAATAGCAAGCGGAACATCGACGGTGGCAGAAAGGCGCTGCCTGATACAAGTGCATCTTAACACATAATAGACTGTTTCATCCAGATGTAGAATTTGCCGATTCCAGCCAGTGAAAAAGTGAATATGTGATAGAAAATTATTGGGAATACTTGTAGCGAGAGGTGTGGATGAGAGCGTTGTGTTGTTCGCCGACATGGAAGTTTCAGCTGCAGATATTCCGCTGCCAGGCTGAACAATGTCATTAGTGTGGATTTCAAGGCCTGATTCGCAGAGCCTCGCAAGTCAATTCCAATGGGTGGTTGACAAAGCGGTACAAGAGAGCTTCATTCAGAGTTGACTGTCGGAACCACAAGAACGATCCACATCGAATGTAAGATCCTGTTAGATGGGATCAGATAAGCACGGAATCCAGCGCGAATGCCCAAGAAATGTGAATAAGAACCACCAGAGCAGCAGTCAAGATATACAGTTCAGTGGCATAATGATGAACGGTAGTGACAACATGCCGGTTTCCGGATCAATAAGGTTAGCTGAAGCATGGTTTGTTTAAAGTAGACCTATTCGCTCTACAGCTGAGTAGTCTCAAACTGCGCAGTCGAAGTTGGCGACGACGCATTGGAATTTCGAGGAGTATATTCGCTAAAATCTACTATTGCCCTTGAAGTTGACCTCATAAATAAATGAAGTTTGTGCTCGACTGTGCGAGACAAGCCATTAGAGGCGTGATCAATGATTCGTTTGGCGGAACACTTTCAAGATCAGTTCAGCTGGCCCCTTGCTCCCGGACCTCTTCCTACTCAGGTGATGCAGGACGACCCATGTACGGTTAGTTTAGGGCCTCCGTCGGAGGCCGAGGTCCGAAACGCGATCACATCCCTTAGTCATTTTCCTGCCGCTGGCCCAGATTCCCTCCCACCTGAACTATTTAAGGATAGAGGTGAGGCCCTCTGTAAACCACTGACCTCCCTATTCGAACGTTTCTGGAACGAGGAGTGTCCCGCCTAATTAGAGTGAGTCGATTATAGTGGCAATATACAAGAAGGGAAGTCGCACAGACTGTGGTAATCACCGGGGTATTAGCCTAACGATAGTTGTAACAAAATTACTGGCCTCGATCCTCGTTCGTCGCCTAACTGTGGAACGGGAATCTTGGATTAGGGAAGAGCAGGTCGGTTTCCGCCCAGGACGTGGCGGTATGGACCATATATTTACTTTGCGGCAGATGCTAGAGCAGCGCCAAGCATACCATAGACCAACAACAGCTGTGTTCCCCGATTACAAGAGTGCGTTCGATTCAGTCGATCGATCGATTCTGTTCGAAATACTTGCGCGGAAAGGTGTTCCCACGAAATACGTGAACAGCCTACGTGCACTATACTCGAACACTACAGGCCGCGTCAGGGTCTACGGTGGCCTATCGGATATCTTCCGACCACAAGTGGCGTTCGTCAGGGTTGTCCGATTTCTCCATTCTTGTTCAATTTCGTCGTGGATTCTATCATGGAGTGTTCCCTTGCGGAATCTCACAATGTAGGCGTTGAAGTGCTGTCTGGTGAAAGGTTAGTTGATCTAGATTATGCGGACGAAATCGTCTTGCTTTTTGACGATGCTGCAACGGCACGATCAACTCTGAATAGCCTGTCCAGAGTGGTCCCATTATTTGGTATGCACTTCGCACCTTCATAGTGCAAAGTGTTGCTGCAAGACCACCAGCCACTTGATGACCTCTTGACCCTTTCTAGTGAGGAACTCGAGGTGGTTGATCAATTCACTTATCTTGGCAGCCGCATCAGCAACGATGGGTGCATAGAAACTAACGTCAGCTCATGCATTACAAAGGCCAAAGTTACCTTCTTGAACCTGCGGCATCCTTGGCTACAGAAGGGAGTTTCCCTCCGTCTGAAAGGCCGGGTATACAAGGCCACAGTGAGGGCCGTTCTGCCCTATGGTAGTGAGACTTGGCCCCTTCGGTCTGAAGATCTAAAGCGCCTTCAAGTCTTTGGTCATCGTTGTCTGCGAAGCATTGCTGGAGTCGGATGGCACCAGGGTGTCCGCAACGATGATGTGCGTAGGCGAGTACTAGCTACTGATAATCATGCTACCTCCTTAGAACAACAGATGGCAGTGAATAATTTGCGTTGGCTTAGGGACGTACTACAAATGCCTGCTCACCGCTTAGCTAGGAGGGCCTTGTTTAGTCTGCCAGGTGTAGGGTGACAAAATGGTCGAGGTGGACAGAAGTTGACTTGGCAGTGGGAAATGAAGTCACTGACGACCAAACTGGGTGCCGTTGGTCCGTCTCGCCTTCCGGGCTGGAGTCCAAGTGACTCGCCTTGTGCTTGGCTCGAGACTTTACAGGATATGGCTCGCAGTAGACACCAGTGGCGCGTCTGCTGCCGTTTCCTAATTGGATTGCCTGTTCAAAGTGTGTTTGGTGCTGAGTTATCTGCGGGGTAATGGCTGATTATGACACGGGGCAGTGAAAGTCGAAAGGAAGCTGTCTCGCCGATGCCTCCTAATCTTTGCACGATAGCCAGTTGTTTGTGACGGTATGTTGTCTACACAAGGTGTAGGCGCCTGGACCCTGAATGTTTGCTTAGGGCATTAAGGTTTTCAGGTAAGTCCCCCTTCTCTCCCTCTTATTATTCTTTATTTCATAGGTCATCCTGGTTGTATGGCAGCGAAGCATCAGTTCAAACAGCTGATGTACTGCTGTTGTTGAATGATTGATAGACTGTTGAAAAGAGGGTAGAAGTAAGGTAACCAGGATGTACTGCACTTATCGCGCAGATACAGTAGCGGAGGATGCTATTGACTGATAACGAGATGCTTCACAAATAGTCAATAGAGATGATGAGCTTCGTGAACTCGACTCATCAGAGTTTGTAGACCAACCAACGGGGGATTCATTCGGATAATGTGCACACATGCCCAATTCAAGGAAATGAACAATTATGATTGACAAACAGCCATGCGAATCGATGCATATCCGACAAACTGAAAGCAGAAATGAGGAGCCTCGTCAAATAGTGAGAGTCAGTGACAGAGCGGTTATGTGAGTGGCGCCTTTAAAATCATCGAGAACTAAGGAAGTTTAGTGTGCGTCAAGGATTTACACGGTTTGGAAATCGGAGAATAAGATATTCACGATTTCAAAGGCAGTGGTGGCCGATAGAAGCATCTAATGTTCAGCTAAGATAATGGGCCATCCGGATAAAATGTCTTGGACGACTTAATATCATGATAAAAATAATGGCGTTCCAATTGAACTGTCAGCAATATCGCGAAGTAACCAGTATTGATGCCGGGAAAATGAGCGATGCCATGAAGACAGCTCCTGGAAGGCGCAAAGCCGTGAGTAGGTCATATCCCATGGCCCAATCACTCAATTTTTAGGAGGCAAAATGATCGTTCGGTGAGTGGACGGTTGACGCTGCGAAGGTGACACGCGATTACAAGGGAGCCTCATTCAAAGAATCGGTTGCCAGAACCTCAGTGACGACGCACATGGGCCTCGTGTGTCTGTTAGATTGGACCAAAGAAGCACCGAGGCCACCAATAGTGCACAACAAATGTGGATAACAGGCATCAGAGCAACAGTGTACAAGCATGTCTCGACCAAGAACGTGCAATACCAGTTAAGTTAGAATGTGATGCAAATCAGAAGGGTAATGCTGATATAGGAGGAGGAAGTCCATGCACGCGAAGTAAATAATCTCCAGGTTTCAACATCATGGAACATATTTGGAACCGATCGGGAAGTCATCATTACAGAAAACTTGGTAGTCTATCAGCATAAACCTCCAGGTTTCATTCATTCAACTGCAACACAAACATATTTACGTGCAAAGCAATTGTACGCCGCGAAACTATCAACGGGTCTGATAGAATCAACAGCATATGCATAGATAAAGGTCAACTGTGAATCATGGTTATATGTGGTACAGCTAGATGTGGTTACTACAAATGAGGACCAATAGGATTCAGTTCCAAATATAGCATCGAAATGGTTGCATCTGCATAAAGGAAAAGTTCTGGCGCGAAGTAAGGAGAATGGATCAGGTAGAGGCGTTGGACACACTGAACAGCAACCCTTTGATGATAATGATAGCCTATGATAAACAAACGGCACGATCAACGGGAGGGGGGAAGAAATTTGTACAATTGCGCAAGTAGGGTGGGACAGAAAAGCCTCAACTCTCAGAGGAAGAATAGAGAAATTAAGTTAGCGGAGTAGGGATAATATATCGAGGTCGAACACGGAACCGAACTAGGTTCGCGCGGTCAGATGAAATCGAGAACACCGGCAACAAGTGGTGGGCCGCAAGGTGGCAACGAATAGTAAAGAATAACAGCCCAAGAGGTGACGTACATACACGCACGTTTAGTGAAGTAGTTATGGATCATATACAGCTGGCCATGAGATGAACAAGCTGTACTGCATGGACGAAAACGTTCGGGAAGTCGAAAATTAGCGATAGATAAAACGGTTGGACGTAATGGCAGTCGTAAGCAGCTTTCGGTGACAACTTCTATCGATGTAATTTACTTGCGTAGTGGTGGACCACTAACCATAGGATATCATCGATGTTATGAGGAGGCCACCCAACGAATCAATCCAGTTGCTTTTTTTTACAGTTCCGCAGAATAATTTCACCGGCTGGTCGGAAAAATGCTCATGAACTATCGGTTCTTAGTAACTTAAGGAACTAAAATGAAGGAAAGACATACGAGAAGGTCGACGAAATCCTACGAATAGCGAAAGGTTGTGCTGTGCAACTATCATGCGTTTTGCGGTCAGTTAATTTATACCTTGTTCAGCTAATCAGAGTAATTCAGAGACAACACAGGCAATCAGGTCGACTGAAGGGGAGTGCGGCCGATGAGACTGTGATGAGCGCCATAGCAATCACCATTGCCAACAACAAAATAACAGCAACGCCAGTAGTTTACACGGATGCTTTACTGACACACAGTTATAGTGGTTCTAGGAATGAGTAATGAAGGAGAAAGTCATCAACATTAAGCCGGGACACCGCCCCGATGCTTCACTGTTATGCGAGCAGTACCGATCGCGCATGCGCTGGGTATAACGAGAGACCATTCAGCACCTAGGCGAAATCGAACCGGTGACTTCCGAATTGCTAGGTGTGTCTAATGCTTCCGACGAACGACTGAGAGATAAGATGGAGAGGAAAAAAGAAACTCTGAATGCAGCTACCTGAAATGACCAGAAGTCGGAATGCAACAGAGTGCTTAGATGGTAGCGGAATGTAATGGAATTCGACATTGCAGCTAGAAATTTCATCGACAATACTTATTCCGTTGTATAAATGGCGAAAAGTGTTGCGGCGAGTGAAAAGAACGAGAACTCACATTCTCGCCACGAAGCACTAAATGCCGATTATCCAACAACACGTCTACATCACTCTCCGTGTTGAGTACGTGATCAATGCCACCAGGCGGTGCGGAACCGATCAGTTTCCAGTAATCGGCTTGCAGCTCAATTCCCCCAGGGGCGGCCTTCCCAATGGGAACTACCTCTACAGTACCGTAGACTTGTACAGTTGATTCGGAAGTAAGACCGACGGCTTCCACAGTGCGGGCAATGTAGGTAGAAAAGGGTGCGAATAAGTTGCAGCAATCGAAAAGATTGAATAAGAAAAACCAGCGGCAGATAGGCACAAAAGGACTACGTTCACGAGTAGACAACAAATCATGGATCTGCGTAGGCGCGAGCTGGTATTAGCAGTGGGAAACAAATGTATAGGCATAATGGAGATCTTTTGATAATCAATAAGTGGACAGACATCTTCATTAAGGTCAGAAAAGCGAAAAGCACATACCAGAGTTGTGATGGTACATTATAACGGAAGAATCATTTATTCGGGTGGATCACACTACAAGGCGTCCATAGTCAAAAA